GTTGGCCTTTATTCTTCTTGGCAGGGGAAGTTGAGGTTAATGGAATTTAGTCATGCTTTACTGCTCCTTTTAGACTTCCAAAGTTATCCCAGGATTTCCCAGCAGCAAAGTAGATGCTTCTGTTCTAGAACAATGGGCCAAGGTCACCTTACCCCTAGGAACATGAGGAAAAGCCGAGTCTTGGAAGAATGTAAAGACCTCAGTAGGTTCAGTTTCCTGTCCTACTTTGATCTTGTGGCTTATCACATTCTTTTTTTAATTTAGAAAATAATTTATATTAATAATGTATAGTACACTATCTGGCAGGGAGGTTATTTGTCCTGCTGAAGAAGATGGTAAATCCTGTAAAGTGGAAGTGGAATAGAAGACATTGGGCTCCACTACTGTAATCAAACTGTGATACTAAATGTTACATGAAGAAGACTACTTCATTTGGACCTGGTACTTAACCCACCTACAACAACCTAAGATGGATAATCTATAAGCAACCTAACAAAGACTAATTTAATTTCCTCCTATATGTAGCCTTAATACCATGAAGAGCATTTCAGTTCCAATGTGCCAAGGTTCTTGAGCTATATTTAGAAGCTTAAAGAATTTGAGACAAAGTGAAGGGCCTCAAAGCTTGTTTTTGTTTTTTGGTTGTTTTTTTTAAGAGAGCGGAAAGGAGAGAAACATCAATTTGTTGTTCCACTTATTTATGCATTCATTGGTTGATTCTTGTATTAGCCCTGACTGGGGAGTGAATCCATAGCTTGGTGTATTGGACGATGGTCTAACTAACTGCACTACTTAGCCAGGGCCTAGCTCTATCTATATATGATAGGGGAGTTACCAACTCTATATTGGATATAAAAGCAAGATAGTTGGGTTATGTGGTAAGTAAATCAGAAAATAGTTATAGATTAACTATTAATTTCATTTTATAATTATGGTCTATTTTTTTCCCTCCGTATCTTCCTCTTCATTACTGCAGTACATATCACACAGGGCCTCTGGCAGGAAGTAATTGTCCCCCGATATCCAACCTTGTAGTGGTTTAATTCTTTGACCCTCCTCCCATCAAAAGATGGGATGTGTGTTTCCTCCCCTTGAATATGGGTGGGCTCTGACCAATAAAGTACAGAGGAAGTGATGCTATTTATGTAACTTCTCAGGTTCAGTCATAAAAAGCCTTTAGCATTCTCCTAGGTCTCTAGGAATCTCTTGTTCCTGAAGCCCTAAACCACCCTGTCAATACAACTATCCTGAGGTCACGAGTAAATGCTCTGGAAGATAATCCCATCTGAACCTGTCTTCCCAACATTCCAGCCCAGGAGCCAAACATGGGAGTGAAGATGCTATCTGGAGACCGAGTCCTCCACCCACAGTTGCTCCAGTTCTCAGCTATTACTCATCCCCAAACATCTCTGCTGTGCTTTCTGTATTTTGAACCCAGGGAACCTCATGAAGATAATAAGACGGTTGTTGTTTTACACCACTAAGTTTTGGGGTGGTTTGTTACACAGCAAAAGGTAATTAAAACACCTTTAGAATCTCTGTGTGTTTTAGGTAGATGGCTGGCTAGTTAGAGGCTGTATTTCCTAACCTCTTCTCGTGCAGGGCAATGTGGTTATAAGCCTTGCCTGTGAGATGTGAGTGGAAATGATGCAATAAAGTCAATAAAACATTAAGTGGCACACTTCCTCTCCCTCTTCCACTCCTTTTGGCTGAGACAGTGACAACTGGAGCAGCTACCTGGGATCCATAGACATTGCGTTTGGCTGTCACAGATTAGCTTCCCCAGGCAGCGACTCAGCAGAGTTTAGAGTTCAGAATATTTAAAAGGAGTTTCCCAGGGATCAACACCTAAAGGGAGGGGAAGAAAGCAGGAGTGGCAAAGTTAAAAGGTGGGTTGCAATGCAGACCCAGTGACAGCCTCAGCCAACCCCCCAGAGAGCTCAGGAGCTAAAACAGCCCTTCAGAACTGTCCCCCATTGGGTCTAAATGGCCTTTATACTCCCACATGTATCAGTCATTGGATATGGGTCATCCTGTCCTATGCTTTTGTTAAGTTGTAATGATAACATATTAGTTGTCTATTAGTGAATAACTAACCCAAAACATAGTGGCTAAAACCAACATTTATCATCTTACAGTTTCTGTGTGTAAAGAATTCAGAAATGTACAGGGTTGCAGTTAAGCTGTTGGCTGAGGCTTCAGTCAGCTCAACTCAACTGGGGACCAAAGGACTCAGTTCACTCACTTGGTTGCTGACAGGGCTCTTCCTTACCATGGCCTTTCTCCTCAGGCTGCCTAAGTGTTCTCACAACATGCAGTTGGTGATCTGGGAGGAGAGAATCAGAGAGAGTCCAAGACAGAAGCCACAGTCAGACCAGCCCGTACTCAAGGAGAGGGGTTACATAAGGATGGAATCCCAGCCGCCAGGGACACGGGGGCAGGCTCAGAGGCTGCCTACCACGCACAGCACGCACACAATTTTGTATCCTGCCTTTTTCAGTTCTCATCAACTTAAATGTTTTGTTTTGCTACATGTTCTTCATTAAAAAAATGTTTTTAAAAATTATGAAAGCAATATTTAATCCCCCTCCCTGCTGAAAGCAATATTCTTGTAAAAAATTTCAAATGTGTAAATGATACATCTGTAAAACTTTTTTTATGCTTTCCTATTAGTTGAAGAACCCAGAGGTATCCACAATTAAGTTTTATTAATCTGCTGAGAAACTTTACATATACATACACACAGTACTGTGTATTTAGTACTGTGCATTTAATGTTCTTAATATATCTTGGAGCTCTTTTCGTATCACCATGTAAAGATCTGGGTCATTCTTTTTAACATTGGAATATTTCATTTCATGATTATATTAAAAATACGTTAAGCAGTCTCCTATTGATAGACATTTAAATTTTTTATTCATCTAGCAAAAGATGCAAATGTACATTCTTACCCATGTGCCTTTGCAAACTCATGCTGGTATAACTTTAGGATTAATTCCTGGGAAGTAGAATTCCTGGGCCTAAGAAATGCACATTTAAAATTCTTTTTAAAATATATTTTATTGATTTCTTACAGAGAGGAGGGGAGAGGGAGAGGTAGAAACATCGATGAGAGAGAAACATCGATCAGCTGCCTCCTGCACACTCCCTACTGGGGATGTGCCTGCAACTAAGGTATATGCCTTTAACCAGATTCGAACCTGGGACCCTTCAGTCCGCAGGCCGACACTCTATCCACTGAGCCAAACCGGTTAGGGCTGCACATTTAAAATTTTGATGGATATACAGTGTATGACTGTGTGTGTCTCTAAATAATGGCTAACACTGAGTATCAGTAAATTTAAAAATTTTGTCAGGTCCAGCCATGGCCAACACTGAATTATGTACATACCTGTATTAGACTGTTATGACATTAGTGTAATTGATGTTTACATACCTTTTATTACGGGGTTAGCTCCTTGAAGCACAAACTTAACTGCATTTCTTTTTGTAGTCCTAGTACTTACTATCATACTTGCCACACAATAGATACTCTGCAAATGTTTAATAAATGTCAGAGTTGAATTTAAGGCTTTGAGAAATCAGAGGAGCTGGTTCAAACCACAAAACCTGCCTCCAATTTGACCCTTATTCTCTCTGGCCTTCATTTTCACAATTATAAAATACATGTATAAGACTAGATTTTTCTAGTCCTTTTCAGATCCAAAATTATATGCTTCTGAGAAGTAAATTAATGTTATCTTCTGATCTCTTTACATACCAATTTCAAATTAAATATTATAATCTAATCCTAGACCATACATTTGCCATATTTTTCTTTTTGTATTGTTTGTTTTTTGCCATATTTTTCAATACCAATGTATTGCTTTTCAGTTTAAGTTATTTTGACAAATCAGTCATAGGTAGGTCTCTATCTTTAATCTTCAAAAATTTTCAGTGGTATAAAACCACAAGAAAACACATTAAGCAATGAGTATTTGGTTCTGAGATCCTTGTTTTCTTAAAATATGGACCCTAAGTATAGTCACAGTTTTCTAACATTTTTGTCTCTTGGGCTAAATTAAATAAGCAAACTGATTAGAGTACTATGCAATTGTTAAGATAGTTTGAAATACTGGTTATTAAAAATTATTAGGGAATTATCAGCTATCTTCATATTTTTATAAAATGTCACTATATATGTATATACACAATTTTTTGTTCCAACAGATCCTTATATCTTTTTCATGTCTACTTGTTTCCAAAAGTTGTCAATCACAAACATAAGGTCTAGCCATGCTAAGAGAAGATAAGCCTTATAAAGTGACCTAAAAAATAGTGTGTCATATTTATGTATAGCATTAACTTCTGCATGAATCATAATTTTTAGCCACACCATTGGTAATGGGTGACTTTGCTAATGACATTTTAACAGTAGTCATGAATGACAATGTTAACATTTAAATACTAACTTTAGTTCCTCTGTCCTTGGGAGCTTGAATAGTGGTAGGGTAATTTGTTTGGGCAGCAGTAAGGCTGACAGTTTATATTAGCCAAAGCTTTACGTTGGCAAAAGAATCCACTCATCCACTTCCATGCACATCAACAGTTCTAATCTCCTTCACTACCTTTTCTATCACTAGCACATAGTCTTCCCTCTTCTGACAGCACCATTTTATGCTTTGCTCTTTTTTAAGGGTTAGAATCCAACAAACAGTAAATTTTACAATGACTGGTAAAAATTCCATCCATTATTAAAAATAAGCAGAATTCTGTACAATTAATTTTCACAACCCTGGTGAGATACTGTAGTAGCAGTATTTCACTGACTGGGTTGACCTTGACCAAGTTACTTAATTACTCTGAGCTTTAGTGAAGAAATGTTTTTAAGAGATACAATCTGGAGCTTATATTAGACATGACTTTCCCTTACAATCAATGGAATTGAGTTTATATCAGAAAAGCAGAAAGGAATAATCAGGAAAGCAGAAAGGAATAATAAAACAAAAGGATTCTGAACGTGAATTTTGAAAAAATTTAATATAGCTTTAGATTACCTCCAAGATTAGCTGTAAAATTTTTCCTTTTTGTTTTGACAATTAAAAATTATGAAAGCTATTAGTTTATTTTCTGTTACTGGAAATTTATCTGACTTAATATTATACATGGTACTAATATAATGAATATGAAACATCAATGAAGACCTACATTATAGATCTCTTCAGACCTCCCTCATTCCCGGTGGGTGTATGTACGTGTAATCTATTATCCAAAGAAAAATGTCACATAACCACCATGACATTATATAAACAGGTACAAGAGAATACAGAAAAATGTGTTAACCATTAAGCTCCTCAATACCAATTCTTAGACTATGCATCAATGGCAGGGAATTATGTGTAGCAGTTAAGAACAATACATTTTGGAGTCAGACAGAACTCAGCTTGAGTCTGACTTTTTTATTGTGGCCTTGAGCAAGCTACCTAATATACCTGGGCTTCAGGTTCTTCACCTGTAAAATGAGATACTACTACCTCATAGGGTCAGAGCAAGGACAAAACAAGGTAATACATATAAGCTTAGTGGTTACTTAGCACACAGAAAAAGTTGAATAACCATTAGCTATCGTTATTATAATTTTCCAGGATACATACAGTATATGATTATGTATTTTTTCTATGTACCCACCCTGACAGAATGCTTAAATCTTTATTTTAACAACAAAAAAGGGGGCCCTGCCCTCGCCAGTGTGCTCAGTGGTTAGAGTTCAGCCTGCACACTGAAGGGTTACGAGTTTGATTCTCGGTCAAGGGCACAAACCTGGGTTACAAGTTCGATTCTGGCTCCAGTTGGGGCTCGTGCAAAGGCAACCAATTGATGTGTCTGTCTTACATCAATATTTCTCCCTCCCTCCCTCCTTCTCTTCCACTCTCTCTAAAAATAAATGGAAAAAACAGGTGAGGATTAACAAAAAAACAAAACAAATTAAAAAAAGGGTCCTAATGGAAGCTTTGCTTCTTTAACCCATTTACAAACATAAATGACCTATAAAGATAAACAAAAATTCATATTTTAAGGATTTTCTTTGTATTCATCACAAAGACTATTAATGCTTTTACATGAAAAAGCATCAGTGTACATGTTTATTAAACTATTTAATGTTTACACACAATACATAAACATTCTTGGAAGCTCCAAGTTCTTTGATGATTGCAATATTGTTTTCAAATAAGCATGATAGAACCTTAAATATTACATCATTCAGATTATTTTTTTTAAAGAGAGAAACCTCTAAGAGATCACTCCAACACAGTTGTCCATTAAGTATCTGTAGCAAAACTGGTAGATGTTTCAGCATATGGATGGTTCCTCTACTGCCTGGGCACCCTCTGTGACAGCTTTAACACATTTGGCCATTGTCTGTGAGGCTCTGCTAATTGAATCTGAAAGAGATTTTAAAAAGTTGGACTTTGATAATACAACTTTAAAAAAGCACATAGTAAAACTCTGTTTCACATATTCAGGAACAAAAAAAAAAAAGGCTATATAAAATTATACAACTATGTGTAAATTTTGTGAGATCAACCAACAAATTCAGAGGATAAGCCCCTTATTAGCTAAATGCTTTTAATAAGTATTCCTAGGTGTGATTAAATAATTACATATAGCAAACAATGTGCCAGTATACAACAATTAAACATATTATAGAAAAGCATTAAAGACTGGAAAAATATGTGAATACATACTGTAATTGAAAAAAAGGTCACACAACAATGTGTATTAAAATGCATTCAATTGTACACTTTATGGGTAAATTTCATGGTATATGAATTACATTTCAACAGCTATAAAAAGCAAACAAAAAACCCATAGTAACTGAATAATCTGTTTTTGTTAGAATAATATATGTATATATCCCCAAGTGATTGGCCAAAATGTTAAAAATAAATATAGTTATTTCTGAGTAGTGGGGTCATAGTGAGTTTTTCTTGCTATTTTTAGCTTAGGCATATATTCTACAATGAATACAACTTTTATAACATAACTAAACATCCTATTAAAAATAATCTTAGATATAAATTGTACCAAAAAAATTAAAATATACTCCTACCTGCTTTTAGATATAAAAAAATGTTTAAATCATCTTATCAAGTACCTCATAACCTAGATGTTATATCAAGTGTTGTAAGATGTGCAGTAAACAAGTTTCAGTTAGTCTGCACTCCTTAAAAACATTCCTAACCCCTTCCATCAGAAGCACCATTTAACATGTTTCACCACTGAAGTATTTTGATTCTTCTACTGTAATTCTCAGGAAAACTTTCACAGAAAAACTCTCCCTAAATTGCTACACAGTGATACTAAATACAACAGTAAAATTTTATATTTAAAATCTGTTAACTTTTCCTGCATTTTCAAACTCTGCTTACATTTTAGAAAAGGGAATTACAGTAAAATCAGAAAATATGAATTATACCAGTTTTGATGTTTTAAAATCTTCAAAAATTAAAAATATTAAATACTAACAGGTTGTAATCACAATGCTGAATTATTCCTTACCACCTTTCATACTTGCCAGTCATGTTGACAATTGCATACCTGTCATATAGAAGTCTTTTATTGTTAGCTGAGGTGGAACAAGAGGATCAGCAAGTAGTTGCTGGTTCACTAGCTGCAAAAGAGGAGTAAGAGATCAATAATAGTATTAAAAAGTACTACTGTTACACTGAAGGATACACTATTATGAAAACAGCATATAGATAAGTTTTTACCTTGGAGAGCTCACTTGCTTGCTGGAAATAATTAGCTCCTTCAACATCATCATATCGAACAAGATTAGGAGAGACTTCTTCCAATCTGTTCCTTACTTGATCCAGAGTATCATATGGAAGAGTTATGCCTGCTATCTATAACATATCAGGACCCAAAAATTGACATAAAGCTTTAATACTTAAAATTTTCAAATAATATATGGATGGGCAAAAGTAGGTTCACAACTGTTTATATGAAAAATACAATAATGAATAAATAATAATCTCTCTCTATATATAAGGCTAATATGCAAAGTGTCCCCTCAGGAGTTTGGGAGTTCTATTGCTCACTATGATGTGTGCTGACCACCAGGGGGCGGCATGGAACAAAGGAAGGCTCGCAGGCCGCTGGAAGGCCCCAAGCTGACCACCAGGGGGCGGCATGGAACAAAGGAAGGCCTCGCAGGCAGCTGGAAGGCCCCAATCAGCACTGATCGCCAGCCAGGCCTAGAGACCCTACCCGTTCACGAATTTCATGCCCCGGGCCTAGAATAAATGCTGTGTTGCACATACAACTGTAAACCTATTTTTGCTCATCCCTGTATGTAACTGCGACTATGGTGAAATATACAGTACTACTGAAAATCTACTGGTGTCCATTAGTGTGTATATTAAGCAAGGGGGTGAGAGGGGAACACAATTGTAAAAAACACTGGTAATCCATAAATAGCTGTCAGTACATTAGTAATTTATCTTTAGAAAATAGACTGATTATGAAATAAATGATTGAAGAGATAATGCTATGCTAAAGGTGACTGCTTGTTATTGATCATATACAGCTTATAAACAACTGTACATTATTTTAAATCTCATGATTCTTTTTATAGTAAAAAGAGTTAAAAGAAATATAAGTCAAAAATTAAAATACCAATTTCAAATTTCCATTTTTTAAACACATTTTCCCTGTAGAGATAATTCAAATCATCTTTGCATTACAGACTTGGGTCTTCCTTGACTTTGAAAACCATTCTGACAAACTAACATGTCAAGCAACCAAGAATAAATACCTCCGAGAGGGCTCTTAAAATTTTCCAGTCTTCTCTCGCCAAGCCAGGAGGGGTCACTGCTACTTTAGTCTGCTGAGCTCGGCCCTCAGTATTGACATAAGTAGCAGACTTCTCTGTGTAAGCTGCGCCTGGGAGAATAACATCAGCTATAGGAGCTCCAACATCACCGTGATGTCCTGTGAAAAGATGGAAAATGGCAAACAACATTTTAGTAAAAAACTGACTAGGTACTATTACATGAACATAGTAAACATTTTTAAAATTATAAAAGTGTTTTAAAAATAAAAACAATACAATACTGAAACCCTGGGATAAAGATTAAAACCAACCTTGCCCACAATTCAACTTCCTTCCCAAAGAAAATTACTGTTAAAGTACTTGATATGTATCTTCCCAGATTATTGTTTGCAAATACACAAATATGTATCTCATACACATATATAGTGACAACTAGGTATATTATTTCTCTTGATGATTATAAAGTGAAAATGCTCAGATGAATGTTAGTGAAATTTGGTAAAGTAGACTGAAATGGTGGAGAAACAAAAAGTGTACAACAAGAATAAGACAGTAATAACACTGAAAAGGGTATATACAGAGAATTATAAAAAATAGTATAATGAATCACTAATAGTTTAACAAACTGTTGGGGGAGGGAAGAAATTAAATGAAGAATTATAGCACAACATATAAACTTTGATCTCATTTGTGTACATGCTTGTATATGCATAGGAAAATGTATGAAGCATGCAGATCAAAACCACAATCACCCTGGCCGGGTAGCTCAGTTGGTTGGAGCGTCATTCCCATATGCCAAGGTTGTGGGTTTGAGCCTGGTCAGGGCACATACAAGAATCAGCCAATGAATGCATAAATAAGTAGAGCAGCAAATCTCTCTCTCAAAATAATAAAAATTAAAAAATAAATTACTTAACAAACAACAACAAACCACAATCAATAATTATCTCTGGATAGAACTAGAATTTGAGTTTATGCATTTTGGTTTAACTTTATCAAACTAAAGATACAAACTACTTCCATGAAAAGCCTATTGTAAATTTATGGTGTTTATGTGTAAAATGAAGTGGAAAATTATGTAATACTTTTCTCTGTAAAATATCGAGAAAACTCTGGACTCCATTTATTCCAGGGAAACTTGATTTCATTTCATACAATGAATGAGAGTTCAAGAAAATGAGTCAAATATTAAAAAAAGCCCAAGGAGCACTATTAAATATGATGCATTAAAGTCCTGTAATACAGGACTCATGATTTTTAACGTTTTTACATGGTTTCTTTGAAAAGCTGAATTTTAATGTTATATAATATCTCATTGTATAAATAAACCAGAATTTAACCATTCCTATTACTAGGAGCATTTAGGTTTAATTCTGTTATTAAATCACATCAAGTAATAATTCTTAATAGCAGTACCAACTATCTATACTAATAGAGGAATATGCAAATTTTCCAGGACACCTTCACGTAACAACCAATCAACACGTGGGCAGGGGCAGGGGCACTGCGGAGAGCTCTCAGCACGCCTGCGCTGGGGTTCTGAAGGGTGCGAAGAGGAAGGGAAAGCAGATAGGCAGTTAGGGGGATCAGGCCAGGAGGGGAGAGCAGTTAGGGCCATCAGGCTGGCAGAGGAGCAGTTAGGGGCAATAGGCAAGCAAGCAGGTGAGCAGTTAGGAGCCAGTGGTTCTGGATTGCAAGAGGGATCCCGGATTGGAGAGGGTGCAGGCTGGGCTGAGGGACACCCCTCCTCCCTCCCCCAACCCCCGTGCACAAATTTCGTGCACCGGGCCTCTTAACAAATAAAACCTATAACTTGGTTTTAAAAATACTGGGAGGGTGTGTGTGGGAAACTCCTGAATGGAAAAATATTCAATCCACTGAATATATTGCCAAACAGTTTCTACAATACACAGTGTACTATTCTCTTCTGTTTCTGGTGTCACATGCTACTTACCTTGATAAATAATGAAACAATCCTTTGGCAAATCCTGTCGAGTGATACAACCTCCATCTGCTCCCAGGAGAAATAACACTTTGGGAGGGTTCTTTCGAATTGCTTCCACCCCAGGCTTATACCCAAGGTCTAAAGCAGCTACTTGGCTTGCAATCCTGTAGAATTAGGAATTTTTAGCATAAGTACCATGTTTCACTATAAAAAGTAAATGAGCCCTGGCCGGTGGGGCTCAGTTGGTAGGAGCACTGTTCCATACACTGAAAGGTCAAAGGTCAAGGCTTCCATTCCTAGGTTGCCGTTTCTATCCTCAGCTGGTCAGGGTGTTAACGGAAGACAACTGATCGATATTTCTTTCTCACATTGATGCTTTGCACTCTCTCTCCCCCTTCCTCTCTCTCTGAAAATCAATGAAAATATCCTCAGGTTTAAAAAAAAATTTTAATGTGATACCTAAACCATCCCTCACCTTTTTTATCCATTTAAAACAGATGTCAAAAGCAGAAACAATAGTCTTTTGGATTTAAGAATGGCTAAAAAACAAACAAACAAACAAGATGTCTAGGACACTGTGTTTCTTCCTTAGCTAATATTTAATGAAATAATTTTGGAAGCTTTCTGCCAATTGCAATTGTTTTAAGTTGATTCTTATTCAATACAGTTAAGCCATAAAACACATGATAAGCCAAACACAGTAAATTAGAGAAAAATGGGTGATTTTGAAAGCCAAAAGGGATAAATTTAAACACACTCATAAAACTGTAATTCAGAGAAAACTATAATGAATACAATGGTGTATGTCTTTATGGAATTTTTTTCTGTGAACATATATAACTCTTATAAGCAGAAAATAATCTTTTAAAAAAGACAGATGTTTCTCTCTCACACTGATGTTTCTCTTTCTCCCTCTCCCAATTCTCTCTCTCTCCAATCTATGGAAACATATTCTCTGGTGAGGATTAAAAAAAATTCATAGCTGAATCCTCTGCAGAAACTGACCAACTGATCCTAAAATTCATAAGGACTGCAAAAGACCCAGAATAGCCAAACTGATCTTAAAAATGCAAGTTGTGCCCAGCCAGCGTGGCTCAGTGGTTGAGTGTTGACCTATGAACCAGGAGGTCACGGTTTGATTACTGATCAGGACACATGCCCAGGTGTGGGCTCAAACCCCAGTGTGAAGTGTGGAGGCAATCAATGATTCTCTCTAATCACTGATGTTTCTCTCTCTCTTCCTCTCTGAAATCAATAAAAATATATTTTTAAAATTATTTCTAATAACAGGAAGAAATTTTTATTTGGTAATAAGAATCTATCAAAATGAGGACACAAAATTGTATGCACAGTATGATTTCAACTATATTATTTTACACGGGAAATAAAAGACCAGACAAGAGTACACCAAAATAGCAATAGTAATTATCTACAGATAGTGGAATAAAGAAAACTTTTATTTCATACTCTTTTTTTTCTTTTTCGTGTCTTAAACTTGCATTGTTAATATACTCACCAAAAAACTTTAGATATATTCTCAGTAAGTTAGCTTACATTTTCATCATTTAATCAAAGACATTGTAATTTTTGCAACAAGTTATACTGATTCAGATTTTCAAGATTTCTCAGCACTTAACTGCAAATTTGGATATTTTAAAATATTTTTTATTATCTTGGGTTTTTCTCACAAAGAAAGTAAAGGTTTCTATTTTATACCAGCTAAGATAATGTTGTTAAATATTAAGTTGTTTGTAAATCTAAATGTGACAATGTAAGACACTTATACACAAAATTACTTGAATTTTATATTATGTAAAACAATACTCAACATACCTATGTAGGATATTCATAACTTTCCAATCACCAGCAACACCACTGCTCATCCGAATCTTTTGAGCAATGCTGGAAACAGCTGCAAGAATCGCTGCCCCATCATTTCTTTGGAGCGCAGAACTACCTAAAACCACCATAGGTTTTTTAGCTTCCTTTAAGACCTATTAAAAAAAATTTTTGTAACTTTTATGAAAAACACATGAAAACTAAACTTAACCAAATCTGAATCTACAATATGTTGTCCCCAAGTTTAGTCAACATATAGACATACATACAGCCACAATTAATCACATTGCCAATGCTATGTGAAATGATTAAACAAGTACCACGAGATAAAACAGATTTTCTAAAAGTAAGCATTGGGAATCAAAATCCAAGCCAAACAACTTTGGTCAGGAAGACTGAGTCAGAGGAATTGGGGAATGTTCCCGACTGAGATTCCGATGGTACTGTGTAACAGGAAAAACCATGCTAAGGTACCATGTCTACTGTCTTCTGTCTACTCACCAGGTCCCAGACAGGGAGGAGGTGGTAGGGAAAGCAATGATCGCTAGATCCCAATGCAGTTTGCTTTCAAACATAGCAACTTCCTGAATGCCAAACATAGCAACTTCCTGAATGCCAAAGACTAAGGGGGGAGTGCATGCCAAGAGCAAAGGAAACTACAACTTTGGTAGAAGATGAAAAAAATTAGAAGTAAAGCTGTAGACTACATAGCTCACTCTCCTGCCCATCCCTCTGTTTCATTCTACAACAGACAGCTAGCCCTAATCAAAGAATCAGCATGAGAATTATACCTAGATACTACAAAGAGGAGGATATTCATTGCAAGAGGAATTTCCCAAGGAAATGTGAAGAGTTCGGAGAAAGTTTCAATGGCCTCAAAAAATGAAAAACACACTTTTATCGCACTTAAAAAAATAAGATTTCAGCCTGGCCTGTGGTGTGTGGCTCAGTGGTTGAGCATCGATTGACCCATGCACCAAGAGGTCACTGGTTCCATTCTCAGTCAGGGTACATGCCCTGGTTTCTGGATCAATCCTCAGTAGAGACCATGCAGAAAGCAGTCAATCAATGTTGATGTTTCTCTCTCATCAATGTTTCTATCTCTCCCTTTCCCTTCATATCCCTCCTCCCCCCCAAAAAAATCAGTAAAAACAAACAAAAAAAGAGTTCAAATAAGTGACATAATAGAGGGTATAATACAATAGATTTTCATATCAGAACTAAGGAGAGAACTGGAAGAGAAATTAGATATGAACACCATTCCAGAAACAATAAAATAAACAAAATAAAACATGACTGTAAATACAGGAATAAGAAAGGCTATAAAAAAATTATATAAAACAAACTGAAAAAGAACAAAAGAACTAAGGAAAAAATGACAGAAAAGATAGAAAAGGAGATCCAATATCTGCATGGTTAAGAGTTCTTGATGAAGAAAATAAAATTGCCAGGCAGGTGTGGCAGGCTCGATTCCCAGTAAGGGGCATGCAGAGGCATCTGATCAATAATTCTCTCTCATCACTGATGTTTCTTTAAAAAAAAAAAAAGAAAAATATATGTATATATATTTTTTAATTGATTTCAAAGAGGAAGGGAGAGGGAGAAAGAGATCTACACTAATAAAAGACAAAGATGCTAATTGACCATACCTTCGCTACGCTCATCAGCCAATCAGAAGAGTATGCAAATTAACCCAACAAAGATGGCCATTAAATTTGCATACTGTAGGCAGATCCTGCTGCGCCGCCCTGTGCAGGCGGCAGCGCGATCCCCAGCCACTGCCTGCCCCAGTGCAGGATCCGGGCCTGCCGTGTGCGACTGGGGAAGACAGGGCAGGCACCGCGGAATTGGGCATGCCATCTGCCACCAGGGGAGCGGGCCTAAGCCAGCAGGTGGTTATCTCCCAAGGGGTCCCAGACTGTGAGAGAGCACAGGTTGGGCTGAGAGACCCCCCCCCACACACACTGCCAGTGCACAAATTTTTGTGCACCGGGCTTCTAGTAGAAACATAAATGACAAGAAAGAATCACTGATTGGCTGCCTCCTGCACACCCGCTACTAGGGATGGATTGAGCCCACAACCCCGGCATGTGTCCTTGACTGGAATAGAACCCGAGACCCTTCAGTCTTCAGGCCAACACTCTATCCACTGAGCCAAATCAGCTAGGGCTCATCATTGATGTTCCTATCACTTCCTTTCCCTTCCTCTCTGAAATCAATAAAAAAATATATTTTTAAAAGGCACACGTTTAAAAAAAGAGAGAGAAAATAACTAATCCTATATAATAAAAGCCCAGAGACCGAATGGCGGAATGACCAGAACGACCGGTCGACCAGTTGCTATGACGTGCACTGACCACCAGGGGCAGACGCTCAACGCCGGAGCTGACCCTGGTGGTCAGTGCACTACCACAGTGGGAGCACTGCTTGGCTAACCAGGACGAGCAGCTGCTCCCACAGCAGGCCGATCCCTGCAGGCCACGCCCCCCCCACCAGTGCACAAATTTTGTGCACCAGGCCTCTAGTTATATAATAGAAAACATACATTGAAATCTATTATAGAAGCAAATTTTCCTGAAGAACACTGAATCATCTCCTGGGGCATGAGGATGAGAACTAGAGATAAAAGAGGACTACTTAATATTTTTTAGTATTTTTGATCATTGTAATCATGGTAATGTTTTTCCTCTTTAAACAAATAGGGCTTGGCTGCTTTGTCCCTTTGACCCGACTGTCTTCTTATTTACATTTGAGGCTATAAATGAAGCAATCATCTTGGAACCATGAGAGGAGGCTCACACAAACACATGAGTGAGCAAATGCAGCGAGGATAGCAAAGCAAGAAGGCCCCTTCCTTGATGACATCTTGGGAAACCTGTATCATCTGTCAAACTACCTACCTCCAGAACCATTATGAGAAATAAAAACCCCTCCCACTTTTAAAATAATCACACACACACACAAATTCTAAAATAAAGAGAACCTTGAATCTTCAGACTGAAAAGCACACCTCCTCAGATAAAAAGTGATAGAGAACCACCATTAAGACACTTTCTGGTGAAGTTCTTAACTTTCAAGAAAAAAGTATCTAGACAGGAAAAAAAAAAATAGGACAGGCCTGGGAGAAAACAGCTGATGTCAGACTTCTCCACAGTAACAAATGTTTATGAAGTTTAGAGAAGAAAAAAAGTGTGAACCTAGAACTTTATATCCGCTAAGGCTCTCTTCAGGAATACTAGACATTTTCAAGCAAGCAAGAACTCAAGGGATAGTGCACCTATGAGACTCTCTTTACACTAATAAAAGACAAAGATGCTAATTGACCATACCTTCGCTACGCTCATCAGCCAATCAGAAGAGTATGCAAATTAACCCAACAAAGATGGCCATTAAATTTGCATACTGTAGGCAGATCCTGCTGCGCCGCCCTGTGCAGGCGGCAGCGCGATCCCCAGCCACTGCCTGCCCCAGTGCAGGATCCGGGCCTGCCGTGTGCGACTGGGGAAGACAGGGCAGGCACCGCGGAATTGGGCATGCCATCTGCCACCAGGGGAGCGGGCCTAAGCCAGCAGGTGGTTATCTCCCAAGGGGTCCCAGACTGTGAGAGAGCACAGGTTGGGCTGAGAGACCCCCCCCCACACACACTGCCAGTGCACAAATTTTTGTGCACCGGGCTTCTAGTAGAAACATAAATGACAAGAAAGAATCACTGATTGGCTGCCTCCTGCACACCCGCTACTAGGGATGGATTGAGCCCACAACCCCGGCATGTGTCCTTGACTGGAATAGAACCCGAGACCCTTCAGTCTTCAGGCCAACACTCTATCCACTGAGCCAAATCAGCTAGGGCTCATCATTGATGTTCCTATCACTTCCTTTCCCTTCCTCTCTGAAATCAATAAAAAAATATATTTTTAAAAGGCACACGTTTAAAAAAAGAGAGAGAAAATAACTAATCCTATATAATAAAAGCCCAGAGACCGAATGGCAGAACGACCAGAACGACTGGTCGACCAGTTGCTATGACATGCACTGACCACCAGGGGCAGACGCTCAACGCCGGAGCTGACCCTGGTGGTCAGTGCACTACCACAGTGGGAGCACTGCTTGGCTAACCAGGACGAGCAGCTGCTCCCACAGCGGGCCGATCCCTGCAGGCCACGCCTCCCCCACCAGTGCACAAATTTTGTGCACCAGGCCTCTAGTTATATAATAGAAAACATACATTGAAATCTATTATAGAAGCAAATTTTCCTGAAGAACACTGAATCATCTCCTGGGGCATGAGGATGAGAACTAGAGATAAAAGAGGACTACTTAATATTTTTTAGAATTTTTGATCATTGTAATCATGGTAATGTTTTTCCTCTTTAAACAAATAGGGCTTGGCTGCTTTGTCCCTTTGACCCGACTGTCTTCTTATTTACATTTGAGGCTATAAATGAAGCAATCATCTTGGAACCATGAGAGGAGGCTCACACAAACACATGAGTGAGCAAATGCAGCGAGGATAGCAAAGCAAGAAGGCCCCTTCCTTGATGACATCTTGGGAAACCTGTATCATCTGTCAAACTACCTACCTCCAGAACCATTATGAGAAATAAAAACCCCTCCCACTTTTAAAATAATCACACACACACACAAATTCTAAAATAAAGAGAACCTTGAATCTTCAGACTGAAAAGCACACCTCCTCAGATAAAAAGTGATAGAGAACCACCATTAAGACACTTTCTGGTGAAGTTCTTAACTTTCAAGAAAAAAGTATCTAGACAGGAAAAAAAAAATAGGACAGGGCTGGGAGAAAACAGCTGATGTCAGACTTCTCCACAGTAACAAGTGTTTATGAAGTTTAGAGAAGAAAAAAAGTGTGACCCTAGAACTTTATATCCACTAAGGCTCTCTTCAGGAATACTAGACATTTTCAAGCAAGCAAGAACTCAAGGGATAGTGCACCTATGAGACTCTCTTTAAAAAATAAGAAATGAACAACTATAATCTACAGACAGCAAGGAAATGAATATTTATGAAGACTCCAGTAATGAAAAAGGTCATGTAAAAGAACTGGTGAAATTTCTTTTAGGAATAATAACTTGCAATAAAGAAAGACTTCATTGCTCTAGCCAGTTTGCTCAGTAGTTAGAGCATCAGCCTGCAGACCATGGGTTTGATTCCTGGTCAAGGGCACATACCTCCAGTCAGGGCGCATGTGGGAGGCAATCAGTCAATGTATCTCTCTTACATGGAAGTTTCTCTCTCTCTCCCAGCCCCCCGCTTTCCCTTCCAATTTCTCTCTCTAAAGATCAATGGAAAGGTATCTTTGGGTAAAGATTAAAACAAAAAAAGAATAAGAAAGAATTCATTGAAGGTTAAGGTTTAATCCTTTCAGTTTCACTTCAATGTCTTTTCTGATAATTTCAAATAAAATTAAACTCCAGTAAATAAAAACAGCACGTATGGTATCACTTCATTCGCTTTCCCTTCCAATTTCTCTCTCTAAAGATCAATGGAAAGGTATCTTTGGGTAAAGATTAAAACAAAAAAAGAATAAGAAAGAATTCATTGAAGGTTAAGGTTTAATCCTTTCAGTTTCACTTCAATGTCTTTTCTGATAATTTCAAATAAAATTAAACTCCAGTAAATAAAAACAGCATGTATGGTATCACTTCATTTTTGTTTGTTTGCCTGTTATTCATCTATCTTGCTCTATATATGAACAGAGAGATGATAATAATGTATTACCAATACTTGTTTGGGGTGGTAGGATTTTGAATTTTTTACTTTCTTCCATGATCTTGTCTATATCGCTGTAATTTTTAACAGTAATCACATAATATTACAAAAACAAGAATTTTTAACAATACTTAAAAATCAGTAAGTGTAAATACATATAACTTGAGAGTACCTGGCTGAATGGATGGGTACCTGAAGCAATGTCTTGAAGAATTTTGGGTGAATCTCCCAGATGGTCATATCTGTAAGTGAGATCCACCTGGCTGCCTATAAGGGCCACTTTTAAGTCATTATGAAGCCAGCTGAAATAAAAACAGCAAAGTTTTTAGAGCTAAATTACTGAGCTATTGGTCTCATTAATGCTAGTGTTACATGTTATTTATATTACAAAATGTTAAAAGCACAAAAACACTAGCAGAACATTTAACCTTAACAGATATAATTTATTGTGTACCTTTCAAAAATAAAGTGTTGTAAAAATACACACAAAGGTAGTCAATTAATTTTCTGTGTTAGAATGCTATCTGTATAAACCAGCTATAAACAAAGACTAATTTTAGAATAAACGATCTGTAGTTTTTATTTTGCCATATTTACACAACAGAATTATCTCCTAATTATCCACTAAAGCCATTTAAATATAGTTCATGAAAGCCCTGCCGGGTGGCATCATCTGGTACACCTAAAAGGTTGCATGTTCAATTCCCAGTCAGGGCATATACCTAGGTTGCAGGTTTGATCCCCAGTTGGGACACATATGGGAGGCAACCAATCCATGTTTCTCTCTCACACCACTATTTCTCTCTCATATGGGAGGCAACCAATCCATGTTTCTCTCTCACACCATTTCTCTCTCACTCTCCCTTTCTCTCTCTAAAAATCAATAAACATATCCTTGAGTGAGGATTACTATATATATATATATTTCATGAAAACAAACTACCTCATTCATATTTACTCTCTCTGACATGAAAGTATGGATCCAGTTCCTCCAAAAATAGTTATAAACACGGTGAACACATATTTTGATTTGTCTGAGACAGTGCTGGCTGAAACCTGTTATCCTGGAGTAATTAACACCTCCCCATTTCACTCTCAACAGTGTCCCAGTTTAGAAAATAAATTATATGATTGACCTATCCACAGATCTCTAAGATACAAAAAGATGGAGAGGCATTCTACAAAATAACTGCCCTGTGTTCTTCAAAAAAATGCCCCAAAAAAGGGACTGAGGAGTCATGACACTAATTACAATGTGTGACTCCAGACTAGATTCTGGCAGGAAAAAAATTACTCTAAAACAATTATGGGAAAATTGGTAAAATCTGAACATAAACTGTGGAATAAATAATACTGTATCAATACTAAATACTTGATTATTTAAGAGAATGTCCCTTGTTCTTAGGAAACCCACACAGAAGTATTTAGGAGTAAAAGGGCATCATGTTTAAAATTTAATTTCAAATAATTCAGAAAATTACATTCACACATATCTACATGGAACAAGAATAATAAAACAAATATGACAAAATGTTAACATTGGTTAATCTGGGGGAACAGTATTACAAAACAGTGTATACAAAGATCATTTCAAGCATCTTAAATTATTTAAAAATAAGATAAATAAAAGATCATTGGGAGGAAAGGGGGGTAGACCTGTTAGAAACTATCCTCCAATAGTATTTTGAAGTTTCCCTCCTAATAATACTTAGAAGTCAGCTAAAATAATAATTTTTCATATATAAAACAAATTATCACATAAATATACTTAAAACCTGAATATTATTACTAACCTCTTTCGAATTCTAGCATTGAATAGTGGTGCCTCAAAACGTGGATTTGTACCAACCAGAAGGACAACATCTGCCTCTTCCACACCAGCAATTGTAGTATTAAGAAGATAATTGGATCGCAAATCTGTGCTAGAAATACAAAATTAAAAATACAAGTTTACTTTAAAACTAATATACACTGACAATCCACGGAATATCTTCGTGTCAACAAACCCATGGCAATCCCAGACAAAGCATTTTTATGAAGTATTCCTAAATTACATCAAAGTTTCAGAAACTTATTTATAATTGGATTCTGCAATACCTCCTGATTTAATGCTGGTCTATATGTGAAAATAAATTGGTGGGCATGTTAGAGAATCCAAGTTGTCTCATTTCAGTCATAGATACTATAGATGTGTTGACTTATACACAGGAAGGAAAGGAGGAAAGTAGGGAGGGAGGTGGAGAGGGAAGGCAGGAATGAAGGAAGGAAACCTAGATCCTAGCTTTATAATTCTCACCCAGCTCCTGCAGTGGGGAAGACCTCTTCAGTGCATAGGGTGTCAGAGTCCACTCTATTAAGCAAATCTTTGAGAGCTACTAGGGCTTCAGCATCCACCAAGCCACCTGCAATTGCTGCCACATCTTTGCCTTGAAAACTCTGCAACTGGAAATGAACGCAAAAGGTATCACTAAGGAGTTTTCATTCAGCAAAGACCACAATGAACAGTTCAGAGAACAAAAGAATCATTTTCAACTGTAACTGAAACATAAAATTAAAAAAAAATCATTTTCAAGTAGAAAAAAAGCAACAAACTTCTAATAAAAAGTTTCACACCAATGATTAATTAATCTGTGAGAGCAGAGGTATATGTGGGGCCAACCCTAATAACACCAGCCTGGAAGGAAGCTGTTTGTTTTAAATTAGGAACAAAAGGGCCTCAAAATGAGGTCTGGAGGATGAAGACTAGGAGTTATAGTTAAATACAACTTTTTCTCAAGTATCTGTCATTCCCTCAAGCCCTGCATGTTGAAAGGCATTCCCTCTATTTTTGCTTTGGCAAACTAGTATTCATTATTCTTAAATTTTGCCTAAGGAGTCACCTTATCTAGGAAGGCAGCCTTGATATGCTAGCCCTGGTTAGGCACCACTCATATATCATTTGTATGTCATATATCATTTCCTGCACAACTACCCATAGCAGCATATGATAATTGCCTAATTAGGTATCTTTCCCTACAAGACTGTGAGAGAGGTGTTAGTGATTTCTATATCCCTGCATCTAGCATTACATCTGGCATACAGTTCTCAATAAATGTTTGTTAATAATCTTTGCAAAGGGAAAGAAGCGAAGAAATATATATCGCTTATTCACTACAAAGATGTCACTGAAAAATCACAAATACTATTTATTTTATATGTCCATGTTTTACCATTCCAGCTACACGAGAGAGTGCATCCTCCCAGGAGGTATAGGTTAAAAGCCCTTTTTCATTTCTGACCATCGGCTCGGTAAGTCTTTGACGTTTTAGCCCATCATAGGCAAATCTAGATTAAACAGAAATTACACCATTTGTGGAATCTTGATAAAGAGGCAACTATAATTTCCAAATTTAAAATCTAAAAAAAATGTTAAATTCATTATCAAGTAAGTTAATAAATACCTGACAAGTAATTATTCTAGGTTTTCTTAGAGGTAAACTAATAAATATTTTACGAATATCAGGTAAAAACTAAAATACCACCTATAAAGCTTGAATTCTTATAACTTATTTTCAGCTACCTGAATAATCTTAAAATTACACAAACAATATGACGGCTGAAAAACCTAAATCATTTTTATTTATAAAACTTGAGTGCCTCTAGATATTTTATCAAAAAATTATGTTGCATAAACTCTAACTGATATTTTGCTTATTTTCTCCAATAAACAAACTTACATATCTTCATCTACTTCAATTTCTGTGTTTAGACCAGTGGTTCTCAACCTTCTGGCCCTTTAAATACAGTTCCTCATGTTGTGACCCAACCATAAAATTATTTTCATTGCTACCTCATAACTGTAATGTTGCTACTGTTATGAATCGTAATGTAAATATCTGATATGCAGGATGGTCTTAGGCGACCCCTGTGAAAGGGTCATTCGACTGCCAAAGGGGTCGCGACCCACAGGTTGAGAACCGTTGGTTTAGAAGGAAAAAAGATGTATCTCAAAGTTAATATGAAAACCAGTGACATATCTAAAACTATTGTTAGTTTTGTCCAATTCTCTATATTAATAGTACAGAATTTAATAGCCTATATTCATTAATTTGCAACTATACAAAAGATAGTTCTTTAACATTATTATAAAATTTCCTTTAAATCAATTGCAAAAGGAGAGCAATATAGCATATACCTGGTTTTATCAGAGATCCACTCTTCGTTAATGTCCTCATGCATTCTTGGCAAAATCCTCATCACCTCTCCAGTTCTTGTGCTTACCACAATATTACTTCCAACTGCATCCATTACATCAATGGATTCTGTCTTTCTGGGAAAATATATACATATATTTGCTATGTTGATTTTATGAATAAGAATAAAGTTTCTGCTATCTGGTTTACCCCAAACAAAAAACTGTGTAATTACTTTCGTTTATGAATTTCTAAAAATAATGGAACTCAGAGAAAATGCTTTAAAAAAAATTTAAAAACCCTCATATTTGAACATATCACATAAATTCCTAATGCAAAAATGAAGACTTTAAAATTGTTCTGATATAGAAGCCAACTGGAAGGGCTCTAAATGGGCAAATCTGAAACCATTTGAGTATCAAAATAACTAACAAGAAGGGAGAGATTTCTGGCTTGGTTATTTAAGAGCTTGACAATTCCTTCCCCCCAAAAAAACAAAAATAAAATTGAACGAAATTAAAAACAACCAATTCAACACTCTGGAACTCTACCGAAGGGAAACTCATAGAAACTCTTATGCCTGGAAAAACAGCTTAACTTTAAGAAGAGTGGAAATCAGCGGTATTCTGGCTTAGGGCAGTTCTTAGCCCTCCTCCCACCACCTTGAACTGGAGGTTTTGCCAGGATAGGGCAGGCTGTGAAGATGGGAGCTTCTTTCCTGCAGATGAACAATCACTCATTTTGGAGCAATGAGGAAAGTTGCCTGGGGAAGTGATATCATGGAGATCCTTGAGCTGAGGAGAGCCAAACGTACTAGAGGCTGTAGTCATAGTTGGGGCAAGCACTCCTAGCAAAGGCTGTTCATATATGTGCAGCTGAGACCAGAGAGGGCCCCAAGCTATTCACACTCCTGGACGACACTGAGATTCAAAGTATCCAGTGGAAACACATTGGGCCAACTTGAAAACAGCCTGAACTTTGAACGTGCTCCTCTATCCACACACAGATCTACTGGCTGAGTATGGAAGCCTTATTGGCTGAGGAGAAGGGAACAAACTCTCTAATTAAACATCTGTTTTGTACTGTTCTCCACCCCCCCATCCTTTTGCAGACATAAATACAATGTTTGATACCTGGAATTTTAAGAAACTCCATAAACTCTGGTGGAAGTTTAAAAGTGGAGGGGAATTTGATTATATGTTTCTAAAACCTTAAAAATATTCAAATTTGTTGTACTACCAACTCCATTTCTTGGTTTAATCAGAAGAACCAGAGATATACAAGAAAATTTATGAATGTTTATCATAGATTTGTAATTATAAAAAATAGAAACAAAATGTCTAATCATAGGAATTGGTTAAAGTACGATATATTCACATAGTTAAAAACTTAATATACAATGAAAACAGACCATAAATTTTAAATTTGCAGTTTCATTCTATCCTACAATCTATAACTATTTAATTTCCAGCAAAAGGATTTTATTTGCCCAGCTGGCATGGCTCAGTGGTTGAACGTCAACCAATGAACCAGGAGGTCATGGTTTGATTCCCAGTCAGGGCATATGCCTCGGTTGTGGGCTCGATCCCCAATGTGGGGTGTGCTGGAGGCAGTCAATCAAAGATTCTCTCTCATCACTGATATTTATATCTCCCTCTCCCATTCTCTCTGAAATCAATATAAGATGATTTTACTTAATGCAAACAAATAATAACTTAGCAGACCAAAGCACTTAGGACTCAGAAAGAAAATTCTTTAAAAAGTTTTTAGTAGTAGCAAAGGGCAGAAATTATCTAAAAAATACAATGATGAGTACCTTGTTTCCCAAGGCCGGGCAGTGAAGGCATAGGGCTTAGAGGTCAGGGCACCTACAGGACAGATATCAATGATATTCCCAGACAGTTCAGACATAAACATCTTTTCAATGTATGTGCCAACTTGCATATCATTTCCTCTGCCTGTTGTTCCCAAATCATCTACTCCTGCAATCTCACTTGCAAACCTGCAAGACAAAAATATACCATAAAATGGTCAAATCCAGCAAAATTAATCTCCTTTCCTACAATGATTTTCAAGCACTAAAAAAGATGTTGAGTATATTTCAATGGTGAGCATACTCCCTAGATAAAAAGTAATTCTATAGCCCAGCCGATGTGGCTCAATGGTTGACTGTCGACCTGTAAACCAGGAAGTCAGTTCGATTCCTGGTCAGGGCACATGCCTGGGTTGCAAGCTCAATCCCCAGTTCATGCAGAAGGCAAGTGATCAATGATTCTCTCTCATCACTGAGGTTTCTATCTCTGACCTCTCCCTTCCTCTCAGAAATCAATAAAAAAATATTTTTTTTAAAAAACAAAAATTCAATGTTTGCATTTGAGGCATCGCACACATACATAAAATTGCACCAATTACATGTATATAGCTCAGCAAATTACCACAGAGTTAATGCTTATAGATTTGGTTTTTAAATCCAACTGACATTGATATTAACCAAAAGTGACCAACTTATTCATTTTATTGGCTGATGCAAAAAAAACCATTAAAAACATTCCTCTTCTCCCACCAAATGAAAGTGTTGTTATTCCACCAAATTTTATGAATATTAAATAAGTATACAAATGATATTCCAGAAAGGGGGGGTGGGGAATTACCTGATGCAGCGAGTACACTGTATACATCTAGTCATAATGGTCTTTACCAACGGCCCAATATTCTTGTCCTCCACAGCACGTTTCCCCTCTAAAAACCGGCTCCTATCACTTCCAAACATCATGGACTGGTCCTTAAATAGATCACAAGAGAGTTAATCTAATGCTGGTAATAAAATTAAAACTTGAGACAACCAAATAGATTCATAAGATTAGCCTACATACCTGCAGATCACATTCGCCTCCCTGATCACAAATAGGGCAGTCCAATGGGTGATTTGCTAATAAGAACTCCATCACACCTTCCCTGTATGAAAAGTTAATATATAAAATGGTTTTCATATACTATTTAAATAACCTTCACAGATGTATGCTATCATATAGTATTAATTTTACAGTTATTATCAGAAATGTCAATGTAACCATTATCCAAGTAGTATTAAAAACAACCTAAAAAATGCTTACAGAAGCCTAGGATAAAGTATCATTAGAGAATCTAAAAATTATGACTTATAAGAACACAAAATTACCGGAAGTTGCTGAACGGTCCTCAAAAAATATTCATATTAATTGAAACAAAAACAAACACACAAATGCAAAGCAAATCAGGACCAGTAAAGTAATATATCACTGCAATAATCTCAGTTCAATAATTTTCTGCTCTAAGAAAAGTTACTAAGCCAAGTAACAGTAAGTACCTGGCTTTCTTAGATTTCTCTGAGTTTGTCAAGATATTCCAACCTTTCATTACTGGCATGGCACAAGCAGCTACAACCTGAAATTTCAATAGAAACATCTGTAAGTATTTGTATTTATTTGTAATTATAAGTAACCCAACATATAAAAACATTAGACTTCTGAAAATAAGCAAAAAAGAGAGTATTTTTGAAGACTGAATTTTTTAACTTTCATATTCATAATATGATCATCTGACACTTTACATTTCTTTTAGAAACAAATAAGACATCCTATATCTTAATTTTATTCTACCAATGTCTCTATCCACTGAGCCAAACCGGTTTCGGCAAGACATCCTACATCTTAATTTTATTCTACCAATGCGATTTTCTATAAGGGTCTGAAACAGAACATCATAAAGCTGCTTTTTGATTAGCAGGCACTACTGAATTAAAACTGCATAGGCCAAAATGAAATTAAACTCAAAGTGAAGCTCTTCGCTGCTACCCTTTTCTCTACTGAAAACGGCACAACATAAGCACTTCTGATGTACTGCTTAGCAACTCCACATCCCAGTTGTGTGTCATATAGCCATTTGGAAATACTGACAGCTGTAAAAAGACACCTTTAATTTCTAAATTTGTTAGAATTTTATAGCCCTTGTGTTTACAAAGCACTTCCATCAATGTGTTTCCACTTTTGAAGAGAATCAATCATCCACAAAATTAATTTATAGAAAGAAGTAAACAGGGCTAGATTCTCCACTATAGTAGTGATTCTAAATATAGTTTGCTGTGAGATTTAAAGTTTTCTACCTTCCACAGCATGGAGTGGAATTTTAGGTATCAAGTACCTTAGGAGCTTTCTCAATTTCAACAAGGCACATCCTGCAGTTTCCAGCAATTGACAGCCTTTCATGGTAACAGAATCGAGGGATCTGCATGCCAACCTTCTCACAAGCCTAGAAGACAACAAGTAAAAAAGTTTTGCATTAGAATAACCTGACCTCATTCTAGTTGTGCCTAAAACATGGGAGGGAGGGTGAGGCCATCCTCCTACCTATCTTATTAGTCCTATTTATAAATATCTGTATTTTCATTCATTCTTTCTTCATCCCTGAAGAGATTTCCTTTCTTTGCTCTTGATTCCAACCTCAGCCTGCTCTGAAGCTGCCTCTTTAAGGATCCACAGCCATGTCTACACTTTACATGAAAGAAACTAAATAAAGCAGCTTCAGACTGAAGGCTTGATTCCCCATTTCCACTCTGAACCACTGTTCACGACTCCCATTCAAACTCTATCACAGTGGTTTCATACGTGGACATCTTCTTTGCCTCCTCCTTTAGATTAGAGACTCCACTTCACACAGACTCGCTGGCTATGATTTGGTTCTAGCTTTGACTCCAAATACCCAACCCAGGACTGACACCCCCACTGTGACTGAAGCTCTTCCCAGTTCCTGTTTGCCTAGTAAGAGGGATTAGTTCTATCTACCAATTAGCACTGCTCCTTCTCTGAGCCTACAATAAATATATTCAAATTTCCTCTAGAGTTAGCCCTCACTCTAAAGCAGTGGTTCTCAACCTTCCTAATGCCGCGACCCTTTAATACAGTTCCTCATGTTGTGGTGACCCCCAATTTCATTGTTACAAATTGAACATAATTAAAGCATAGTGATTAATCACAAAAATATGTAATTATATATGTGTTTTCCAATGGTCTTAGGCGACTCCTGTGAAAGGGTCGTTTGAACCCCAAAGGGGTCGCGACCCACAGGTTGAGAACCGCTGCTCTAAAGCAATGTCCAATGTTTTAACTACTTAGCAAAATGTTATAGTCTTCCTACTTGCTAGATGCAGTAAATGATATTATCGCAGCCTTTGTAATATCTCACATTCTTCATCTGCAGCCCAGAGTTCTCTCTTCTCCAAGCTTTAGACTTAAAAAGGCATTTATGCAAGTGTATGCTCCAAAGAGTTAAAATTCAACCTATTTCTGTCCCCTACTAATTCACCCCAAATAAGCCAACAAAGAATCCACAAAAATTCCTCTGCTCTTCATCATTCCTAAAGGCCTATCTACCTCTTACTCTCCTTTAACTCTAACATCTTGTTTTCATTCCCATTGCTACCATCTATTTTAGGCCTTTTCATTTCCTGCTCCACTAATGCAAGATACTCTTTCCTTATCTCTCAGTCCAGTCTTGTTTTTCTCCCAAGCCATCATCCTACTGTCACTGACATATTGCTCAATAGCCACAAAAACTCCTGATGGGTGAAACTACAAGCTCTTTAACATGGCTTATATCTTCTTTCATGACTGGACCTTCCCTACAGAATAACCTGATTTCCTGTTATCTCATCTTCTACATATACCTTATGTTCCATCAATGCAAACCTTGTCTATATCCTTTCAAATCTCCTCAGGAATCACTCGAGATGCTCCTCACATCTCTTTCTACCACCTCCTATACCTGCCAAAATACTCTGCACTGTACCTGGAACATATTTTTGTTATGTATTTATTGTTTACATGTCTATACCTGGCAGACAGTCCAGAAATGGTGGCTAAAATGAATACACAGCATTTGGCTCTGTGATAACTTGCAGATGCAACAATGCATCACTTCTGCATGAACAATTTTCTTAGTTCTGGAGAAATTTGGAGAAACTAAATATTCAAGAATGTACTGGCCTTCACTTACCTGTTTTGTAGGTTATATTCCTATCAATATACTGAAAATAGAAAGGTTACATGAAAGTCAAAACATCAAGCAGGCTCACAACAAACAGAGGTTACTTTTCCCCCAAACTTACCTATATTAACTAATAATTTTAAGTAACTTCAAATTTCTTAATGAGCATTTATTTGGAAGGCAGAAGTGAAACAAAAGAATTGCCATCATTCACTAAGAAAGTGAGAATCAGCCCTGGCTGGGAAGCTCAGTTAGTTAGTGTCGATCTGATATGCCAAGGTTTCAGGTTCGATCCCCAGTCAGGGCACGTAAAAGAAATGAATGCATAAGTAAGTGGAACAACCAATCTATGTTTACCTCTTTAATCAATAACATAAATTTTAAATAAAAGAAAGTCAGAAACATAAATGACAGCTCACTTTGGAAGATTTCAAAGATTTCAAATCAAACTTATTTTCATGTACCTATAGTGCTTTTATGAGTATTTATCAAGGAATCTTAAAAATTTTAGATAAATAAACAATATAAAGAAATAAACTGGTATTTTTCTAAAAAGCAGAACATACACAAAAGTAGAGAATTAGGACATATGCCTACTTGGAGGACGGTAGTTCCCGGTTCCACCATGACAGACTGGCCGTCAACAAATACTTCAATTAAGTTGCTTGCTGCTGTGGCTGTCGTTCGAACTGACCATCAAAAATATTGAAGTGAAAAATAGATTAATATAGTTGAATTCATTATAGCAGAGGATAATGGATTAACTAACTCTAACATACAAGCCTAAAATTTCTATAGATTCAGACTTTTAAATTAATGAATTACCCAAAAAGCTTTTTAATCTTGAATACCAAACAGAATATAGTTGTCTACTTTTAATAGCAATTTAAGTTAAAACTTTTAATACCACTAAAAATATGTTCATGGGAAGACCACTTTTCAAAAGCAGAATGACTGTTTCTTTTCATTTGCGGCACTGATGGGCAGTTCTAGTTACTTTATATTCCATGATGATTTCTATAAACTGTTTAAGGTAAAGTTATAATTCCCAAATTATCCTACTTGACTTGGGTCATTTGTTTCTATTTTTATTTCAAACAAATTAAGAGTTTAGGGTCTTTCAATAAACATTCCACAGATCTATGAATTTATAAAAATACAAAGTTGAGTACAAACAAATGCAAATTAAAAAAAACAACTCACCATATTCTTTAGGAGACTTAGAAAGGCCTATTAAGGCCCTTCTCACAGGTATCCTTAACATATTGCTAAGAATGAAACAAAGAAGAGTTATATTATTGTAGGAAGAACCCTAATTATAAACTTTTTGGTAATATTTTATGGTTTTAAAACATTCCACATACATTATTTCTTTGAACATTGACAAATTCTGATATTTTCCCTCAAATTCTATAGATGAGAATATTCAGTCTCAAAGAGATTACTGACTTATACCATGTCAAGGAGCTAAGAAGCAGCAGCTGGTATGTAAATTTGGGCCTTCTAATTCTATGTAAAGGGCAAATTTGTTGTTTTTAACTATTAACAAATTATCACACATAAAATACTATTATACAGTAAAACAAATTTCAAGAATAACAGCTTATCATTAATATCTATGTAAAGTAAAGCCTACCTTTCTACCTTCATTTCCTAACAATATGCCTTTTAATATTCTTAGCAATTACATACTAAATGCTCCTGAGATATTCTGAGCTAGCTCACAAGCCCAACCCTTTGAAGTGTCTGGAGTGCCATTTTCTGTGTTGAGTAGTACACTGAACTTACAAATTTGCAATTATCTGTTCTACTCCCACAGCATTATGAACTTATTTTCAATGCCTAGCCCCAAGGCTGACACAGTAGGATCTAAAACACTGGTTCTCAACCAGGAAGAATTTTGCTTCCCAGAGAACATTTGGCAATGCCTGGACACACTGTTGTCACAACTGGGGAAAAGCTACAGGCATCTAGGGGCAAGGCCAGGGCACGCTAAACATCCTGCAATGCACAGGACTGTCCCCTAAGAGTTATCCGAAGTGTCGAGTGCTGCAAGTTGAAAAACCCTACTCTGAAAGGTTTGCTGAATTACTGAAATACACAAAAGTGGATTATGTAAACAACAATTAAAGACATATACATGAGCAAACAAAAAAGCTGAACTTTTAGAGGTTTTGGTCCATTCACTTGATCAGATGGGCTAAGCATCCAAATTATAATTTTTCACTTTGGAATTTTTAAAAATGCAAGTTATGTGATCAGAATATATCAACATAAAGAATTTCAAAGGTAAAGAGAGTGGAAAATAATGTACAGAGCGTCCCGAAAAATGTATACACACTTTGAATATAATTTTAAAGGCAGTTTACTAAGATACATTTCATTTTCATTTAACAGCTACTTGCTGTTCAAGCGTGTATACGTATTTTGGGGCACCCTGTGTACCTAGTATACCTAAGTTTTAAGCATCAAGTTTCACACACCTGTTACAGATGATATATAATAGGGAATTTCAGTGAGTCAGATTTCAATAATTCATAAAATTCATTAGTTCTGAACCCGTGATACTGGATTTGCAGACATCAGGTCTGTCGCCTACTCGCGAGTGGCTTTTGGTGCGTGAGTTTCTGCTGATCTAAAGAGCAGAAAACAGTACTTCGGAGGCTGTGCTATAGGTTGGAGCTGAATAAATGTCAGCTCAAGCGGAAGTGCATTTAGGCAGGACTGGCCACTTACGAGCGGTTTTTAAAAGTGCTCTTTCGTGCTCTTGCTCACACTCTCGGCGCACACTGCACACACATCTTTATTCCACATAGTAAACTGCAGGTTAGCAACTAACTGTAGGCTCCTCCACAAGAAATAATGCCCTTTGGTCACTTCCTTCTTCTGAAGACTTAACACCAGGTCCCTGGGGTTAAAAACCCATCAAATAGGTCAAATCACCCATTTCCAGAATGAGTAGCATCTGTCCCATTAAAACCTACGGATGTCGAGGTAAACCTGAATTGGCTGAATTCGAGTAATGACAGATTCAAAAATCACACAGCAACGACGCACACACACATTTGGTGGTGGTGGCGGGGGAAAGAACATTAAAAAACAAAACAAAAACCTCTTGCTGTTGAGTCATCAGAAACAGTTCACTACACTGTCTACACTGTAGCTCTCACAGTGGTTCTCAACCTTCCTAATGCCGCGACCCTTTAATACAGTTCCTCATGTTGTGGTGACCCCCAACCATAAAATTGTTTTCGTTGCTACTTCATAACTGTAATGTTGCTACTGTTATGAATCGTCATGTAAATATCTGATATGCAGGATGTGTTTTTCGTTTCGGAGCAGGGCTGTGTCCGACCCACCACCTTGCAGTCAGGCCCGGGAGCCCAAGACCTTCCAACAGGGCGGCTTTGCTGCTCGCAGCGCGACCTTGGGCTCTAACTTTTCATGTCTTCTCCTCCAGTTTCCCCACCGGCCAAAGGACCAAAAAGCGCTACCCAACGCGCACAATGGACAAAACCAAAAACAAACCAACAGTCAGAGGCGTGGACGGTCGCTAAGGCAATACCGTACGCACTGGACCAGCTAAGTACTGACTGGGGAGAAAATGCTCCGTCCGTAGGCTGAAGTCACTTGACACAAGTCCCCGTCCAGGGAACAAAACGGCCTCCCCTCCAGACAGGGGCACGTCCTGCATTTCCCCTGCGGAGCGAAGGTCACCCTAAGCCTGCGTTCGGGCCAGTGCTCCCCAGGGCCTGCTTCTTTCCTGCTCCAGCAGACCAGAGACCAGGGCCGGCACACCTCACCGGCCGGCCCTCGGGGCTCCCGGGGAGGCGGGGTGGGACGCAGCGCCCAGTCAAGGACAAGGGGGAAATGAGTCTCCTGGGCCAAAGCAAAGTTTTGTCAAGAAATAAACTCCTGAGGCCATGGCACCTCAACCTTCGCACCCAAACACGTCCTCACCTTCTGTCTGGAGCCGCCGAGGGCACTCGGCAGAACTGTCTGCACCGCACCGACCCCCTTAGACGCCCGGAGGCTTATTCAATATGGCGGCCTCGGCGACCTCCGTCAGCCGGGCCTGGAGAACGGAAAGCCAGGAGGGACTAGAAACCTCAGCTGCGCCAATTTCCCCCCCGCTCAGGTTCAGTTCGGCAATTTCCGTCGATTTGACAGAAAGCAGGGCGAAGGGCGTGGCCTGACAGGAGGAGGCGGGGATTGGAGGCCTGGACCTGCAGTTCCGCCGGAAGTTCCCGGGAGGCTGAGGCCGACCCTCTTCGGTCATCTCCGGTGGTTCAAGGGGCGGTTCCTGTGATCTTCAGGGAGGTGGGGGCGCCGAGGGACTCATTTAAGAAATGCCCTTTCTATTAGTTTATATCCCAACACAAAGAAGGACCCTCGGAAAATTTGTGGGCCGTTTAAGCCAGAGCCCCGGTTTTTATGTTGAGGAACGAGAAAGTTAACGTACTTTGACCTTTAACCTTGGCGGCGGAGGGAAACGCCTCCGTCTCTATATAAGGAGTTTTCCGGCTTTTGGCGGCCCTTTTTCCCCTCTTAGCGCTCGCCGGCCGTAGCCCACGTCCCGCTTCCCTCTGCTGCCGCCCAGCTCCCGGGTCAGCCGACGCCATGGGCTTTGGAGACCTCAGAAGCCCGTCCGGCCTGCAGGTGCTCAACAACTACCTGGCGGACAAGAGCTACATCGAGGGGTGAGCGGAGCGCAGGGCCGGC